CTCTTCTCCAGAACAATAATGTTATGAAGATCTGGGATTGGCATGGGTAGAGAACCTATATTAACCTATACCTAAGATAGTCATTACATCAGCAGGCAGTGTGGCATAGTAGAAAGAATTAGATGGATCTGAGTACAAACAACGGAACTCTTTATTAGCTGGATGACTTTAGAAAACATATGTAAATTCTCCCAGCATCCATTTCTCCACCTATAAATGGGAAATGGAGCTGCTAACACCCATGGTGGAGAGAGAGAGAGAGAGGGGCAGAGAGAGAGAAACATATTAGTATCCCAGTAAGCTCTAAGTGCCGGTCCATTTCTCTCATTTGTAACTAATACGTCTCAATGGTCATAAGTGATCTGAGTCATTTAATGGCTTCTGTTAAGTCCTCCCCCACCTCCAGAAGCTGACAGTGAGACAAGAACATGAATGTTAGTAGTTTGAGAGGAGGTTCCAAGAAACACCATTAGGGAAAGTGGGAGGTGTAAGAACACATCTCAGCATTTTTCAGTTAAAAGGTAAAGAAGCAGAAGTAAGTATCTATGAACTCCCATTTGTCATTGATTGAGAGCTACGTCTAAGGGCCATTAAATCCCGAGCGCTTCCAGGGTACCCCTCACATCCTCAGGGTGTGCTCTGTCAACCAGAAAAACGCTCTTGGGAAAAGAATCAGTATCAGTTGTTTTTTTTTTTTAAATTGTAACTGGTTAATTATATATCTTTGAGCTCTCCAAACTTCATGCCAATAAAATTAAACCATGAAACTAGAACATCATAGAAATTTCCTGAACAAGCAAAACAGACATAAATAACACTTTGATAGTGTTAAATTGAGAAATTATGGACTTAAAGTTCTTAGATAAGCTTCAATTACAGAAATATGTTATAGTTTTACTTGATATTTAGAGAATTTAAATACTGTGTTGAAAATGCCTTCTGAGAAAGATAAAGAAAAGTTGTTTAGAGACTATTTAAATTCTTATGACCACAGAAGTACTAAAAACAAAGAGAATTTTGGGCAGTTAGCCAGGTGGGTCAAAGGTCTTTGAAATTAAACTATACATGTTCTGATCTTTGTTATTGTGCTTTAAAAATCAAATGAACTTTTGTCATTCTTTTGGCTGCCCAGCATGTGAACCCCTTCCTATGTTTGGGGAATTCTTGTCCTTACAAGTCTTGGTGGGATGCAGAAAGTCTCCCAGTATAAAAATTGAAAATTTCAGATAATTGCTTCTCTAAGGTTCTTTGCAGCCAACAAAGGCACATGAGCAAGCCTCTGCCCATCGAAGTCCCCTTCCAAGAATTTGAATAGGTCTCTATGATGTCCAGAAGCAGGGATGGTAGACCACTGTCTCTGAATGCAATGGCAGCTATAGCAAGTTAGTTTCCGGGGGCAGCAATGATGCTCTGCTAGCTCTGTTCAGTGACATGTGAGATGACATGAGCTAAGGCATCTAGTGCTTGGTAACAGTGACAATGATGTTCTCATTTGACCAGGTCTTTGATGTGATTTGGGTCTTTATGACCCACCGGCTGCATGCTCTTCAGTCTTCTCAGAAATTCTGTAAAGCAAGGTAATATCTTTCAATAAATTCCAGTGAGTACTTCAGTGATTCAAAGCTGATTTCAGTTGGCTACAACAAGAAAGTTTAATGCTTCAGAAGTCAGGGCCAGGAAGTCGAGTGTTTTCAGTAGCAAATGCTGAAATATGAAATTGGCAATAATAGTTTTCTGAACTCATTTTAACACAGTGCTGCCCAGTATTAAGAAAATAAATCTTTTGAACGCCAGTTTCAGACATTACCATACAAAAAAATAAACTGGGAGACTATTCCACAAGGCAGAAGTAGGGATCACAAAGGACCACCGCGGGGGCGATTTTTAAATACAAACCAACCAATTCAGAGTCTCCCCCACCACCTCGCTTACAGGGCTCTCATACTGCAGCCTACAGTAAACATCTTAATCACCCCAGGCCAGCTCAAACAAGAACTTGCTCATCAGTAAGCCATTAAGTAAATTTGGGTTAAATATTAATAGATGTCTAAATCTGTAATTAAATAGTGATAGAATTGACACCTTGTAGATAGAAGAAATCATGTCTGTTTTACGTAGCACTAGACACCCAGAGATGATCTATTCTATCTGGCACAGTGTAGCACAAAGAAGGAATAGAGGAGGGGGAGGAATAAAATTATACTGGTTATACTTTAGTTTATGTATTGTAATTAATGCTGTCATCCTCTTCCTGCATTTTCCCCCCTTTAATTTAATAAAAGAGATGACTTTGAACAGGGTTGCCCACAGAATGTTTCTTACATAGCGTGGCTTGGATGAGGAAAAGGAAAATATCCTCAGCACTTTCTTATGCCTTATGAATAGAAAGAACTGTAGGGAGAAAAGAAGGTACATCAGCCAGAAAGACCACAGGCTGCAGGGCCAGAGGGCAAAGAAGGATCCTGTGATTTAAGGGAAGTGCTGACAGGAAGTACCTGGAAGTAAAGATTTAATGCTTAATACCTGGGCCAAGAGACCAAGTATTGGGAAACTTCCCGTGAGATGCACTGTAACTGGATGGAGTTTGCTTCTCAGAGCTGCCACTCCCTGGAAGAGAGTTTAAATGAACCATTCAGCCAGATAAAAGTGACAAGATGGAGGATGGGATACTATAATTAGGGAAAGAGGGGCCATGAGTCAAAGCTAAGAAGTCTCTCTCCCTTGTTCTTGGGTGGTGGGAAGAAGGAACACCTTGTCTGAAACAGGATATCATTTCCCATAATATAGGTCGAGGGTTTTAGTCTTTGAACAATATGAGATGTCTTTGTAAGGAAGGACCTGATTGTGAAAATGGGCTTTGGTAAGTGCATTTTGGGTAAAAGGCAGAGCCAAAGTTTCTGCTGAAAAGGAAGCAACTCTAGAGCACTAAGAAAGAGCTGGAACTGACTGGGGGCTTCTGGGAGAATTGTCCAGATGAGCCCCTCAAGCTGGTATTAGATATGGGTGGGACTATAGGAGAAAATATTGAGGGAATTTTATTAGGTAACTGACTAAATGATTTGTGTTGTAAACTCTTAACCATTTCCTCTTTGCAATCTTCAGTGAAATATATGTTCTTTATTAATATTCTATAAAACGTATTTGTGGAAGAATGAGTAATTGCTGAGTCATACTTTAATGTAAGCACTGTCTAAGTACTAACAGTCTAAGACTAACTGTCTTAGTCTGTCCAGATTGCTATAATAGAATTACCATAAACCAAGTGGCTTATAAACCATAGAAACTTATTTCTGACAGTTCAGGAGGCTGGGAAGTCCAAGATCAAGGTGCCAGAGCATTCAGTGCCTGGTGAAAGTGCACTTCCTGGTTCAAAGACGGCCGTCTTGTGTCTTCACATGGTGGAAAGAGAAAGCTCTCTGGGCATCTTTTATAAGGACACTGAACACATTCATGAAGGATCCACCCTCATGACCTAATCACCTCCCAAAGACCCCACCTTCAAATACCATCATATTAGAGATAGGTTTCACCATGAATTTTGGGGGTATACACATTCAGCCCATAACAGAGCCCAGACTGCATGTGGAGATGGCCAAGATCAAGTTAGCTTCCATTTAGTCACATTGGAGCTGCCATATTTCTTTTAATTTCTACTAAATTTATTGAAGGAACATTAGTTAATCACAATTATATAAATTTCAGGTGTACAATGTTATAATACATCTGTATACTCAATTGTGTGCTCCTCACTCAAAGTCTAGCTTCCTTCTGTCACCATATATTTGACGCCCTTAACCCTCTGCCCTCTCCCTACCTCCTTACCTTCTGAGAGCCTATGAGTTTGTTCATTCATTAATTTTTGTTTTATAACCCACACATATTCTTTTGTAAGAGTTCCTGGGGAAGGAAGGGTACCAGGAAGACACAAAGAAAAAGGAGTGGGAATGCTACAAACTGAATAGGGCAGGCTTCAGGGGGCTCTTGACCTGGCTGAAAATGACCATGTTGTCTAGGAAGCTCTGTGGCACATGCATGACCTGCCAAGCAGGAAGAAAAAAAGTATTTCTTCCCACAGTTCCTCATAGAATGTGGAGATGAAAACATAGCTTTCAAGCCAGACTGACTAAATTCTGGTTTCTCTCTGGGTTTATTATTTGCTAGTTTCTATCATTTATCGAAGTCTTTTTTCTTTCTTTCAACTATTCCAGCTTGGTCTCTGCTGGGCTAGTTCAAGGGAAAAAGATCATGTTCCAAAGTTGGGCTAGTTAGCTAACAGGGCAAGAGCACCTCCCTGTGGCTGAGTGGCAGGAGAGCAAGAAACGTTAACTTCAGGGTCTACCCTAAGAAATAGAGAAATGCAAGGAAGTAATTTGTGGGAGATATAAGCTTTCTTTAAGTTAAGTGGCATTTTCCTGAGACCTTTTCTTTGGCACCAGAGGGTTACAGACCATGAGGTCTGAGTGCAGAGAAAATACAAGTTTAGAACAGCCACTGAAGATTAGAAGCCATTTTAAGTATTTTAGCATGAATTAAACATTATCATTGCAATCAGTGTTTGTCGTTAAGGTCATCAGATATCTGTTAGTAATTTTTTTGTTGTTTGGTATGACAGGAAAATAATGTTTAAATGAATATATTCATCAAAGTCTCCCTATTGGAGTAAGAGCAAGGACATTTAGCCTATACATTCAAATGGGACTTGATCATTTTAACATGGTTCACTGGCAGAATATCTCACCAAGTCACTATAGATTATATGCTATGTAATAAAAAAAAAATAGCAACAGTAAAGTTTTTTCTCTTTAGCACTTGCTTTAAGAGAAAAATCCTGAAATGTGTAAGCATTTCTTTTTAATTTAATTTTATTTTTATTGAATTTATTCTGGTGACATCCGTTAATAAAATTATATAAATTTCAAGTGTACAATTCTATAATGCATCATCTGTATTGCATGTTCAGGGATTTCTGATGTTGGAAATCATAATATGTAAGACTATATTTAGCAATCGGGGTAACTTAGCTCATGATAATTGGCATATGTATAATTACAATTTGCATTCCAATTACTTAAACTTAGATATGCTTGATCAGGTTGGACATACTGTGAGTAGAAGATCTCTTTTTCCAAGAGATAAGATGGAGAGAGTCTTTGAAGAATGGCCTCATTGAATTGGTAAGTTAGTTTTCTCCGGATTTTGGTGATTTCCCCAGTTCTTCCGTAATTCCTCAGTGCTCTGGCCATTTTCTGGTAAGTCATGGTCTTCCGGTTGCCTTTTCTTTTTCCCCAAAGTTGGGCAAGTTTTTCTTTGTTTTTTGATACAAACTGAAAGATGCCTTTGGTTTTATCTACCCACTGGATACAAGATGCCATCTCGGGATTACAAAGGGATTCATGAAGGTATTCGAACAGTCGGAGCTTCTTCCTGCCTAAAAAAAAAAAAATGGAGGAGAAACAATGTCATACTCCACTCGTTGCAAACAGGAACATCCTCAGGAAAGGTCTGTTGAGTGACTCCAGCTTGAAAAGCTGCACTGGGAATGGTTTTCCTCCTACTCACCCCCTTACGCTTGCATTTATGGCCTTCTTTCTGGGGACTCAAAAGTCAAGGGTCTATTTGATCTACTGACGTTTCAACTGGACCTTTCTCTGTCGGAGAAGTTGTCAAAAACTTTGTACCATCCTTCAGTGAAAAAGGGGAGCCAGGAGTCTCTTTACCTGAGTCTCCCATTTGTCATGTGGTCTTTCTTAGCAGTTAAATCTTAATTAGTAGTTTTATGTCATATGTTAAACTTTTTACAAACCAGCAAAACTGAACTAAATGGACAGCAAAGTTTAGTGGTTTTAAGGAGAACCCTAAAAAGCCATTTTCAGAAAGCTAAGTCATTTGAAGGTCTTTATTCAAATGAGTTAGATCAGATGAAGTAAAGAGTATGAGTCCATTTTGTAAAATGCCCAAGACTATGCAAATCCAAGTGAAATCAATAACAAAGACTTAGGTAAAAATGTGAACTCTTAAAAAATAAAATATAGAAAAAACTGGAGTGGAAAATGCCAAAATATCTTCATGACATTTCGACATTGTTTATGAGCAATGACGATGACCATAGGCATTGTGATATTTTTCATTGCTATTACATAAAAATGCTACTGCCAAAGTTTTTATCTCTTTAGGAACACAGTCTTTTATATTCAGAATAACTAGGCAGGGAACTTTGGGAAGATTTGCTGTGGTTTTTTGTTTGTTTTCTTGACTGGATTTCTTTAGCTGAACAGAGCGGAGGTGACAGACCATGCTGTGACTTCTGAATTGGCCTCTAAGTGCCATGCCTCACCAGATTTGTCAGGAGCTAAAAAAATCCATGGCCAAATTCCATTTTCCTCTTGAGAAAGTAGCATAGTGGATTCCCAAACTTCTTTAAATAGTCTTTGGGGAGTAACAGTCTTGCATCAGTCATCATTCATCCAAAAACCTCAAAGGTTTTGACAAAGATTATCTTTTGCGTTAAATTATCTTGAGTTTATGAATTGAGAAATGAAAGGGACTTACCAAAAACACATCATGAATTAAAGTCACAACCTTAAACAAACTCGCTGCCTGTCATCCAGTGGTCAAGTCAATTATAATGGATTGTCAGCTTTTTAAAAAAATGTTTAAATTTTAAAAGATAAAAGCATTATATGCTCATAGTAAATGATTAAAACAAAAGCATAAAGTGAAAATAAAAGTTCTAATCTAACCTACAGTTCTAGAAAGTGTTTCATATATTTTGTACATGTAAACATATGCATAGCAAAAATTATAAATGGTATACTATTTTGCACTTTTTAAAATAAATGATATATCATAAATTAAATCATAGGACAATACAGAGATTAACTATAGGTAGAGGAAATAACCAAACTATTGACAATAGTTACTTCTGAGACAAAGCATGGGAGAAGAGAAGGAACACTTCCACTTTTAAAAAAAATGTGAGTATTATTACTTTTGAATTGTGGAATTAAAAAAGATGAAAACAAAAATAGTAAATGTATTTTAGAGTTTTCCCTCTGTCAATACAGGGAAATAAGGTACACCTTCGTGCCTTTGAACAGCTGTATATATTCTACTTCATGCATGTAATTTTTCTCCCAGTAATGAATTCCCAAATTATTATTTTATTGTTTCAAATGTATCCCTATTTAAGGTGGAAGATAAAGCTCTAAACAGAAAATTGTGAATGATATGTCTCCTAACAGCAAAGCTCCACAACAAAAAAATCAATGAAAAGATAAAATCTTCACACCCTGGATTGAGTTAGTTATTTAAAAAAAAGAGGGGGGATGACAAGCTAAACAGAGGTAGAGGTGTTATTCTCCTTCTATTAAATTACTACCAGTTAGGTATTTAATACTAATATTCCATGATGCAAATTTATGTTTTGTGTCATTTTTTATACATTATTCTTCCCTAATTTAGAACATCACTGCATATTTAGAATTTTATAATTGTAGGATACAGTATATTATTTTCTAGGAACAAAACTAGCTTTCAAAAAAAATTCAGTTAAAATAACTTTAAGTAACTATGATCAAGTATCATTTAAAAAATTACATTGTAAAATTGAGATGCATCTTATATACACCAACAAATATGGTAGGTGATTTGCCATTTTTTTACTCTCACAAACATTCATTCACTCATCACAAAAATACATATATATAATATATATGTATATTCACACACACACAGACACACACACACACATTTATGGTATTTTAAGAAATCATCCACAGTGCCAGGCTATGAGCATAGTGCTTTACATGGGTTTTCTCATTTAATTTTCACAGCAATCTCACAATGTCTGTACAATTAATATTATTTGTCTTTTGAATAAGGAAGCTGTGGCACAGAAGGGTAAGTGATTTGCCCAGGTTCACACAATTAACCCAGAACTCACAATCAACCACTGAGTTACATATTCCCTAAAAGTCAAAACATAGGAAACACTTAAAATTTTGATAGAATTTTGAGAGGTGTTGTCAAATTGCCTTATTAAATTTTGGAATAGTTTACAATCCCTTCAGTAATGTGTATGAATGTGTGGCTCACATCTTAGCCATCAGAGGCTACTTTGACCCAACTGTTAGGTGAGATCACCATCATCTTAACTAACAAAATCAAGATTTCAAATTTATAAAACATCGAATTATTATGGACCTTTTTTTTGCAGAAAATTTAATAAAGAAGATGATTTCTATCCCAAAGGTTTCACAATTGGAGTAAGACTGTTAAAATAACTTGTGAATAAGTTCCTCCTTCTATAATAAAATATAATATATAAACACTGTTTATTTATTTGAGTTAAGCGGATGCTTTGCAGCTTCATAATATCTCTATGAAGTAATAGGAAGGCTCACCCAAGATGAATGGCTTAGAGTGGTTCAGTCTGTCTGAGTTAAATGATGCTCAACGGTGATTAGAGAATATTTTGCAAATACAATTCCAAACTTATATATGAAATCCCCTTAAGGCTGCTTTGAGGGAGACCTGGTTCTTTTACCTATACAAGGAGTGATGGCTCCACATACCTTTTCCTCCCTTTTGCTGGAGAACAGGAGGTTGTACCAGCTGATTTTCAGGGATGTTCTGCAGAGATTGATGAATGTTTCCTTCAAAATAGAGGTCCGCAGCACTGTTCTATACAAACAATGCAGCAGGGTGTTAAGTGGGACTTTCCACGTGGCCCCTAATTAGTGGCTACAGTCAAAGGCTGGGAGCAAAAAAGAGTGCTAAACATCTCCCAAATTCTAAAAAACACTACCCTCAACTGCAGCCCCTTATCTCCCAGGACAGAACAAACATTCATGGAGAGGACCAAGGGAGGGAGGGTAGTCTTTGGGTTTGTGAGGAAGTCCCTATTTTCCTCCCCTATGAGAAAGGACAGGGATGGCTTCCCTCCTTCCCCCTAATAATTCCGAATGGAAAAAAAAAAAAAATCTGAAAGAATCATTAATAGAAATTGAGGTGTCAGCAAGAAAGGAAGATGGGCTTCCATTCCTGCTTTGGGTGCTCGATCAGGTCAGAGGAGATTAGAGATGAAAGATGGCAGCCGAGGGAGACCAGAGCCAAGAAAGGAGACAGCAGGAAGCAGTCTGAGTTTCCACCATTACATATGACAAGGACGTGTGCATCTCTGTGGGTTAATTACACACCATGGAAGGGGCTGGACTTGAGCCATCTTACCGCACCCCATGCAAGAGGGCTGCCCAGCAGGCACGGAGTTCCCAACAGCAAGAGGCAGTGTGGTGATGTATGCCAGGGTGTGGGAATCGAAGTGGAAGCAGGGTTGCCAGATTTAGCAAAGAGAAACATTGGACGTCCTGTATTTTACCTGGCAACCCTAAGTGGAGGCAGAAGAGCAGGAGCTGGTACCCAAAACACCCTCTTCAAAGAACTGTCTCGTGGAAAGGCCTTGACAGAACAATTTACAGAGTCAGAAGAATAACTTTTTACATAGCATGGTTGCAGGTAATGACTGAAGGAAAATTAAAATTAGTTCCTATTTATATCCCACCACATTAAGGCTGCTTTAATAAAATAGATATATTAAGAAAGCAATGTAAAAGAACACATGGATGGAGAGATAGGGTGTTTTACAGGAGCCTACTAAAATGTAAATTATTGGTCCACTACATGTAGCTAGATCTGAGCTTGAGGGGTGATGAATAGTGCAATCTAACATAAAATTGTAGGCAAAGTCAGTGCAGGAGATGTCTGGGCCTTTGCCCTTTGGCTTTTAGGGAACTATCATAACTTTTTTTTGCAATTTTCCAGATGGGCTAAAGAGAAGCAGTGATATTAGAACTTTTAGACTCACCCTAAAAGAATAAAAGCCCTCTAACAAAAAAAAGAAAGAAAGAAAGAAAGAAAAGAAAAAGAACTTTTAAAAACCCTCCTTTTTTAAAAAAAAAGACTTTATTTATTTATTTTTAGAGAGGGTAAGGTAGGGAGAAAGAGAGAGACAGAAAAACATCAATCGGTTGCCTCTCCTAGGCGTCCTGTCTGGGCGAACCCGAAACCCAGGGACATGCCTTGAGAGGGAATTGAGCAAGCAACACTTTAGATTGCAGGACGATGCACAACCCACAGAGCTACACTAGTTGGGACAAAAAAAAAAAAAAAAAAAAAAAAAAAAAAAAGGCCTCTTCTTTAGAAGTCATTCAAATTAGTCTGCAGCTGGGAGAAGAGCAATGACAAAGGGCGGTTTCCTTCTTCACTGCATTGCTAATCATCACCCACTTGACGTTCAAATTCACACCACGAATGGTGGCCATGAGTAAGTATTTTCCCAGTCAGCGCTGTCTGTAAGCTGGGTTTCAGCTAGCATACGCCAAGTGCCAAGTGGAAGGCCGGCGCGAATAGGAAGTTTGCCTGTCACTGAGAGCTAGGCTCCTGGTACTCACTATTACTGTTCTCCAGTTATAGACAGGTTCTTCTGGAGGCAGCATGCCGTAGCAGCTGGAATTTCCTCTGGCATGGGAACAGTGGTTGATGAAGGTCAAGTAGTTTTTGTAATCTAATTTAAAAACAGAAAGAAATGGAAAAAGTTAAATTTTCCATTTGTGTGTGTCTGTGTGTGTGTGTGTGTATGCTTATATATGCAATTGTTCCCACCATTATTCTTTTATCACTTTGCATTTCCCTATGATGTTTATTGCATTATGCTGGTATTACAGTTACTCTTTTACGTATTCCATTCCTTCTATAAGAGTACATGTTCCTTGCAGGTCAAGAGCCCATAATTTCTTTTATTTTGGAACTTCCTGCAATACCCTGTGTAAACTCGATTGTCAAAATATCTGCATCTTTTCTAGCCTCTAAAGGATAATGAGCAGAGGGGAATATTTACTTCTCCAAGTGGATGGGTAGAAGATCTTTAAGACAAATTAGAATCATTGAAAAGCCCTTCCTGAATAATAAAAATTATCTATCTATTAACTAAATAAATGCCAACCAGATATGCTTAATAGCAAATAATTATATGTCTTAGTATTCTTGTATAAAATATCATTCTCTATGTTCCTTGCATTTTATGTCAGACTTTAGATTTATTTAGGCTAGGTAACTGCATCCATTTTGCCTTTGTTAGAATTCTAGGTACATTGGGTAAAAATGGTCTTCTCTGTTCTGATCAGTATTCTTATTGTACATATGTATGATACCAACGAGCCATTTTATGTAGCAGCAGAAGAAGGGACTGATATTTTACCTGGGGAGTACTGAAGATCGCCAGTTGAATGTTGCCTCAGTACCTCAAAAGCATCTTCAAATGCTTGACCCAGCTTATCTTGTTCAACACAAGCCTGTTAGAACAACGGCAGAATTCTGGAGTTGTGGAATTACCAATTGAATGTAATTTTTCTGATATAAAGGAGAGTTGCTCTGCCATGGCATTCCTGACATTTTAGATTGGTTAAGTTCGCCTTGTGGGGGGCTGTCCTGAGCATTGTAGAGTATTTAGCATTAGCAGCATCCCTGGCTTCTGACCACTCACTAGATGCCAGTAGTGCTCCAACAGTTTTGACAACAAAAACTGTTGTCAAAACAGTTTTTCAAGACAAAACTGATGCCAGTGGAGACGTATGGTTTTCTAATATAGTATTTAGAGACCAGTATTCCTTCTACAGTGTAGTACTTAACATTCTCATAAACTTTTAGCAAGGAGTTGTATAGCTGGAGACCAATTTGGAAAAGGGGGTCAAGGAATTATCTTTAATCAGACAGAATCTGAATCATTACTTAAAAATGAAATGCTCTTAATTTCAAAAGCATGTCTCTAAGACTTAGGACTGCTTTGCAAAGCATTTAATACTGTAATTTACCTAATCCATATATTTTATTTACAAAATAGAGGATGATAAGAAAATTTAAATGACAACTTACCATACTTCATTAATAAATTGATGATTCTGAAAAAGATTAATATTTAAAAAACAAAATCAGTGTCTCTATTTAATTTGCCTCTGAATTAAAAGATCTTATTCAGAATATTTTCTAAAAATGTCTTATATATACCAAAAGTACTATCTGAATCCTATTTGATGAGTACAAATTTTCTACAAAATTTTCTACAAACTCGTTTTTTGCTTTTCTATCATTACAAAACTTCATAAATTTAAAAAGCTACATAGAGTTAATTACCTAAAATGCTTGACTTATGAGAATATGGAAATGACTCAAGAATATATTTAAGTATTTCAAATTTTTTAAAAGTATTTCAAAATTGTGAAAATCAAAATCCTTTTTACCTCAGCGTAGCTGTTTGTTTATAGCAGTCATTTAAAAAAAACAAACAAACATTTCTGATGTTACATAGCTTTCAGAGAATTGGGTGAGAGGCATGTTTTTCTCTCATGAAATGTAGATGTACATTAGAAATAAAATACGCTCTTTGAGACACATCCATGGACTTTCTAAAATCCTGAGTTAAGAACCCTGGTCTATAATTTTATATTATCTACTTTCTTATCTCTGTAAATAATTCAGATTTTGTTTTAAATAAACAATAATCACACAGACCCACATTAAAAATTTTTTAACTCTACTCTCTAAAAAACTACGCACACACAAATAAATCCACATAACAAGAAAGAGCATTTGGTGAATCTGTGAAATCTAACATTGTTACATTGTTTATCATTTAGCACATCAAAAAACTGTTTATACAAGTTCTTACTTTTATTCTGCAAGCACAATGAGCTAACTCTAATATTTAACACTGTGTAATGCAATGAGGTGACATGATCTAACGCTATCATTATACGTATCCATGATATATCATTTTGTCAATCATCTAAATTGCATTCAGCTCTTTGAAATCACTATATCATGTCAGTTAAAAGAGAATATGAAAAGAAAAGCCATAAAAAAGGTAACTATGTGAGGTGATGGACGTGTTGACTGATCTTATTGTGGCAATAATTTCCTAATATATGCTTATGTTAAATCATCATACACAATATTATACCTTAAACTTATACAATATTATATATCAATTATACCTCAATAAAGCTGGGGAAAACATATTTTTAAAAAGCCATGTTAATCACTTTTTATTAAATATGCCTTGACTCATTAGCGCCAAAGCAAATACATGAGTGTTGTTCTTCGAATTAAATATTTAAATGAAGCTACTCTTATGACTAAAATACCCCACGAAACTATCACAACTCTTAAAAGTAGCAAGCTCAAAGGGAAGAAAAAAACTGAAAACGTATTGATCACTCAACTGCTTAATATTTCTTGTATCAGAACAGGCAGTCAATGAAAACCACTCATTAGACTGGAGGAGAAAATTAATAACAACTTTTACAAGGTATTTTGAAAAGTATAAGCTGAACACTTACCAGGAAGACACTTCAACCCTTTACAGAGATGTTTCATTAATATCAGACTCGTTAAGACAGAACTGTCAAGAACTCACTGGCAAAGTTGCATTAAATAGCTGTTTTTAAGGAAGTGCTACAAAAGGGGATTTTTTTTAAAAGATACAGTGCCTTCATAATGTCTATTTCATGACACGGCCAGTAGGCACCAAGGGCTATTATTTTGAAGAGATGCAGAATAGTTTGTATCCTATGGGCCAAAAGCATTAGAACAAACCCCATGAAACCCCCACCCAGTGTAAGTTGCAGACTCGCAGGTCCGCAGAGCCCCATTAGAAAACAATGCTTGTCCATCCTTTTGTATATTCCTATTACTTCTCCCCTGATTCTGGACCTTACATTGCCTTCTTGTTTGGACTATTAATAGCCTTCATTCTGAGCTTTCCAAATTGGTCTCTTTAAACTTCTTTACTTATATCGCCTAACTTAGTGATCCCAAAGGCAGACGCCTCTTCCCTGGCATTCAAAGCTCTTCATTCCAGTCTTAGTTTTATTGACCATCATTCTTTTAAGAGGCGGAAATGGTACACTCAAAATAAAAAATGTATAGTAAAAGAAATAAGAGGGGGAAATGGGATCCATGATATGGCCTTCTCCTCACACTTGGATCCAGTAGATCCTCCAAAATGGTTCGGAGAGGGTTCTGGGTGATCTAGCGGTAAACGCTCGGAGCTTCTACGTTTGCAGAGTGGGTCCAGTTCTCTTCTTTAGCTTGAAGGTTTATTTGAGATGGTTCTTGGTGGCTTTGATGGGAACTGTGGGGTGCTCCCTCCACCTGCAATGCCTCCTTCTCAGTCCATCTGCCTGCCCGTTTACCCATTCCACCTTACCTGTTCATCAGAGTCCAACCTAGCATCCACGTGAACCAGGTGGAAATAACCTTCTCCGCGAGTGCGCACCGCCCTTAACTAACCGGCTCCTTCAGCCATTTTAATAGATGTCACATTTAGCCAGGGGGAAAACCACCTTAGAATTTTTTGTAAACCTTGTGGGTGGGGGAGAGATTTTCTGTTTTGCATTGTTCGAATCTGAAGTCACCGTTGATACGTTGATACGGGACTATTGTTCTAGACCAACTACTCTAGTGACCTGATTTGTTATGCAAATATAAACAAGCATCCCCTCTTCTGAAATGTAGATGTTGTCTATAATCATTATTGTTGATGAGTTTTTAATCTACGTCATTGACAAATCTACGCCCTTTTGGGGCCAAGTTTTTATTTGGTTCATTTATTCAACAAACATGTATTACTGAGCACAGTCTTGTGTCCAGTTTTAACAGCCCTATGCAAGTTCTAATCAGGAGAAACAATTTAAAAACAAACAAACTAGAGAACTATGAGATAATCTTAAGTGCTGAGAAAACACGTAAAGAAAGGTGATGGAGAGAGAGTCTGTGGTCCTGGCAAATAGTCACACAAATTCCTATTTGCAGGAACGTGTGTGAGCTGAAATCCAAGTGTAAAAAACGTAAGAAAAGGCAAAGCAGAGATGCAAAGATCCAGAGAAACACCTCCTGACAAAGGAAGCAACAAGTACAGAGAGCCTTAGTGGAAACGAGTTTGGTTTCTTCAAGGCACAGGAAAAGGGGGGAGGGGTGCAGAGAGGAGTAGGGGAGGACTGAAACAAAATGACCCTGTGGGCTAGTAGGCAAAGTTAGAGAGGAAGAAGAGGGGATCCAACTCAACCCACACATCAAGCCAAAAGACAACGGAAAAAAAGAATTTCAAGCCCCACTTCAGAGTGGGAGAAATCTAAAATGAAGCTCAAAGACATTTTAAGATTTTTCCTAAGGCCAGTGGCTAGTGAGAGATGGCTGGGCTGGGTCCAGATTTGGACCAAACTGTCTTCGTGCTCTCAGCCGTCTTGCTGAGCCCTGTGCCTGCAGGTTAGGTTCCGTTAGATCAGGGTTCTCAGTCTCGGTGACAGTCTCCATAGCACCCAGCAGATTCTTGTAGGACAAGCTTGATACATATTTGAAATGAATGGAAAAACAAGTAAACTTTCTTAATTGGCATTTTCCCCAGCTGGTATCTCTAGACTTTTCTTCTGCAAGATGTTAATAAATGAATCCTGAAAAAGAGTTGTGTGGAAGCCAGTTTTGCTGTTAGAACTTCGTTAGTGAAGCCCATGAATATGTTGATAATGATGATTCTGCATTACAGATGAGAAAACAAAAGCAGTTTTGGGGTCTTCGTAGGGCAAAAGGGGAAAAATACTTCATGCAACTTGAAAAATGATGCATTGGCCTTTTAGCATGTTAGAACAGGTCAAGGCTCCTATTCCTTAAGAATCTGATGAAAACTATGAGTTTTCTCCCCAAGAAAATGCCATCGGTACACATTTCCAGACAAACCTTCCCAGTGAAGCCCATAGACCCCAGTTGAGGAGCTCCTGCTATAGTGTATTTTCAAAGCTTTCTTATTTAAGGTATTAAGGACTACCTCTTGAGATATTTGTCCGCAACACCCACCCACACAGAGCACCTTTCTGGGGGGTCAACACCAATATTTCCCTCAATCAAGAAGTGAGCTGAGTAATAAGGGCTCTAAAGAAAGGATCCCTTCCTGACTGACAGATTCTCTTTTGCAGAAGTTCATTGTCCTCAGTAGCAACTGAGATTATTTTAGAAAGTCTTAAGCAACAGATGTGCTGGTGTCTAAATCATAGGGTGCCAAGCTCAGGTGGAAGGCTGCATTTTCTGAGAATAGAGAACTTGAGAACCCAGTAAAAGGGAGACTAAATTCAAGCTCTTATTACTTTGCAATTTTTATTTAAATAATCCATTTTCTTAGGGGATTATAGAATTGGGTCTTAATCTTAGTAAAATCTCTTAATCTTAGTAAGATCTCTGAATAAGCAAATAATATTGCTAGACTGAGAAAGTGCTAAAAAATTTCTCACGTCAGGGTAGGAAAATTCATAGAACCATAGATTATAAAACAAATTGTGAATCTGCACCCTCATTTTAATAATTACTTGTATTTGAGTATTTTTTAAAATTTTATTGAGATTTGTTTTGTGATCCAGCGTAGGACCTCTCTTCATGAATGTTCCATTTGCAGTTAAAAGAAGGTATATTTTGCAAATATTGTATGCAGTGCCAAATAAATGTCAGATCCACTCAGTTGATAATATTGTTTACATTTTTCATATCCTCATTGATTTTTTCGTCTTCATGTTCTATCAGCTATGAAGGCTACAGAAGATTAGAGATTACAAAGAGTAATACCCAACTGTAATTGTGAATTTGCTTATTTCTCCCTTTAGTTCTGCCAATTTTTGCTTCAAGTATTTTGAAGCTCTGTTATTAGATGTATACTTGCTTAGAATTATTATGTACTCCTGATGAATTGAACCTTTTATTATTATAAAATTTCTGACATCAACCACACCAGGATTCTTATCTTTTTACTTTCAATGTGTCCACAATGTGTCCACAATGTGTCTTTATATTTAAAGAATGTCTCTTTAAGCAGCATATAATTGGGCATTGCTTTTTAAATCCAGTTTGACAATGTCTGCCTTTTTATTGTTTAGTCCAATTTAGTAACTGCTGCTATGGTTGGGTTTAAGTCTACCATCTTACTGTTTATTATTTATTTATTTTTCTTTCCTGTTCATTTGTTCTTCATTTTCTGCTTTCTTTTGCATTAAACTATTTTTATTATTTTATTTCCTCCATTAGCTTTTTATAATGTGATGACATGTTATGATGTGATATACTTCTGCAATTTATTTTTAGTGGTTGCTCCACGGGTTACAATATTCATCCTGAATTTATCACTGTCTACCCTTGGTTATGGTTATATCATTTCATATATAATGTAAGACCCTAATCAGTATATTCAGTATAATTTTTTTATACCCTATCTTATCCTTTGTGCTAATCTTGTCATATATTTACCTTTATATATGTTATCATAATAGATTATTTAACCTTCACAATAGTTCTGTGAAATGGTGTTATTATCTCTGAGGTGATATTGTGGATCCAGACCTGTGTGAATTTGGACAACCTCTCAGTTTCTTTTCTGCAAAATGTGGATAATGATTTTTTTCAACCTAGGGCTGTTGTGAAAATCTGAGTGAATCTATGTAATGTACTTTGGATAGACCTGGCATATAATAAACGTTCAATAATTGTTAAGTCCTATTTTATTATTGAATAATTTCAAAGACAAAGAAATAGAGGCTCAATGAGTTTAAGCGACTAACTCAAGGTCACTCAAAGTGAAGCTTTTCAAACCAGTTCTATCTGACTCCAACCAGACTTTTAACCATTCAACTGACTTTGCTTACTTATCTATGGAATGAGACTGCAAAAGAGAATAAGAATTTGATAATCGATAATTGACTTATGACAAAGGGCTCTTGAGAAGTTTTATTGAGATAGTACAAAAGAAGGACTAGTAAATATGCGCTGTGGTAACCCTTATAACCACACTGCTGCTATTTTACCACAGCTGGGACCTGCAGGCTACTGGTAAGCAGCAGAGCCAGGACTCAAACCCAGATCTTCCTTTGCTGTCACTGGTGCCTCTTCCCAATAACTAGGTTGTGCAAATATTCTCCATGGGCTTACTGTAATTACTTAAATAGCTCTTGCTAGTGCTCATACCAATGGAGGAAACTCCTGTAATACAGGGCTAGTAAAAAACCACCCTTACATACACTCACAAAGGTAGATAGATAAATATATGCATTCATCTACATATATACACCCTGACAAAAGAATGAATAAATAAATTATAATATGTCTACATAATGGAATAATGTAGAAGAATGAAAATGGAAAAATAGCTAAATGCAAGGACATGGAAAAAACAATGTTCAGTGAAAAAAGTAAAGCCCAGGAAACCACTTAAAATATAACAATTTTTTAAAGAGTTCAAAAACAAACAACTGAATATATTTTAAACAGCTTTTATTTCCTTCATTTCATTTATTTCTTTCATTGTCTTTCTTAACATAAACCGAAAGTTTAGGGCGGTGGCTACTCCTGGGAATGCGA